CACACACACACACACACACACACACACACACACACACACACACACACACACGCACACACGCACACACACACACAGTGTCGCCCTCACGCTTCGGCCAGTCTTCCAGTCGCTGCTTCCCTAGCCCCCCGCCCGCTCATTGCACCTGTCCAATCAAAACCGCTAATCTACAGGTAGTGGCGATCTTCTTGGCGGTTGACCTTTTAATATTTGCCTACGAATACTGGAGCGTGCAGCAGGCGGGCGGCGCGCTGCCCTAGCTGCAGCAGGCGGGCGCGGCGCGAGGTAGCACGCGCGCCGAAGGCGGACGGGCGCGCCAGGCAGCACGCGTGCAGAACGCCCGGCGGCGGCGCGTCGCTCCGGCCGCTGAGCGGCGCGGGGTGGGGGACTGCCTGCTGTGTGCGGCGCACAGCCCACGTCATGCGCGGGGCACCGGGGCGCCGCGCATCTGGTGCAAGCTCAGTTTGCCCCGCGATTGCGTGGAGGGCTCATTTGAGTGGCTGGGTTTTAGTGTGGGCGGCAGCCAGCCAACACCGCTCGCAGCTTGCTTGCGCATGTAGGCACCTGCTCGCCGCCAGGCGGCCGCCGCCTGCGACAGGCCGCCCGTCCGCGCGCTCAGTTGGGTATTGGGGGTAAAACCTGCAATAAGCCGTCCCGATTGGGGCGGCGGCCGCCTGGCCAGGGCGCGCGCGCACGTGCGCATTGGGGCTGGAGACCGGGCGCGTGCGCCGCGCAGCGAGGCTTTCATGGGTCAACGTTGTCAAGAAGAGCGTTCCTTCCTGAACTCTAATGCATCTCACATCATCGATCACACAACCACACGTGTTTTGTCCACCACAGTGTAAAATTTCGTCTCGGGTCACTCGAGGATGGCAGGGAGTGTTCGGGGGAGGGCGGCAGCACTGCACCCCACATGGGCGTGCTGCGGCACCTGCACACTGCAAATTACGTGCTTGCTTCATGATCAGAGGGTTCATTAGGGATCATAGTGTGCTATTTGGTCTGCATGACACCAGCAAAACAGTCACCAGCCTATTCGGCGGGGGTGGGATGATGGGAAGCGCACAAGCATGAGAGCAGCCGTGCAGGTCCCTCAGCCGGCGGATCCGTCCCCTTTTTGATGCTCATCCATTTACTCCACACGCACAAATTGCATGTTGTCATTTTAACTTCCAAACATACATCCTTCATATAGTTTGCTTGTCCGCGAGTGTTTGACTGCTGCTGAATCCCCCAAGCACACGAACGCGCTTCGAGTCCGGAGACGCTGAAAAAGATCGCAGTTATTAGACCTTAACACAAGAAAATACACAGGGCAACACAAGGAGCCTCAAAATCTCGGAGTTATGGGGTGAGGGGCCTGGCGCTCGCAACACAGACGCCCATCTGCCTCTAACACAGCATGCGGGAGCAACTACCACATCTAATCACCCGCTGACATTGCCGCACGCCGCCGCGACGCCGCAGGCCCGTCGACGGTGGCGGATGGACACCTCCGGGCGTAAGCGCGCCGCGGCCAGGGCAGCTGCCTGCCGCCGCGCAGGGCTCGGCCAGCGCACACAGCGTGCTAATGCCGCCCGTTAAACTTCCATTGGAGCAGCTAAACGCGGCGACGCCGCAGGCGGCAGGTTGCAGCCCCGCGCAAGGTGCGTGCAGGGGGCGGCCGACGTGCAGCTGCGCGCTGACTCGGCGCAGTTCGGGCCGTTCAGCACTGGGGTAGGGTAGCTTCTGCACAAGATTGCCGAACAAAGCAACATGGTCATGCGCCGTGGCAGCCGCACCCACTGTTGCACACGCACACACACCAAGCGACCGGCACGCAACAAACGTACCCCGTCCTTGAACAATAGCGACACGCAAGTGCCATACCGAAGGGCCCCGCCCACCCCCTGCCCTGCCGCGCCCCCTACCCAGACCTGACCCAACCCAGCAGCGGCGCAGCAGCACCGGCCCCGCCCGCGGGCGCCGCCGCCCCGCTGGCCTCGCTCCTGCAGGCGCTTGCTGCCCTCGACCCCGGCCTGAGGGATGCGCTTGCAAGATTGGAGCGCGACGGCGGTGCAGCCGGCGCCGCCGGCGCCGCCGCCGGCCCGGTTTCTCGCGCCAGCCTCTGCCGCGTGCGCGCGGCGCTGGACGCCGCCGCGCCGGACGTCGCAGCGGCGGCGGCGGTGGTCGTGCGGCGCCTGGTCGGCGCGCGACCGGCGCAGCCGCCGGCGCCGGCGCCGGCGCCTGCGCAAGAGCGACCGCTGCCGGCTGGTCCGCCCACGGCAAAGGCCGCCGCCGCCTGCCGGGGCGGCGTCAGCAGCCCTTTCGCTCTCCTGGCGAGCCAGCTGCCGGC